TTTTTTACTTACTATATAGCACTGATAAAATTAAACCTCTCATTTTCAGGCCTACTGAACCACTTGTACCATCCTCTGTCCACGGCTACGGACATGTCACAGTTCTCAGTCTTTCCTTTTGAGGTCCAGTTGTCATAGCAAAGTGGGCGTCATTGACCCAGAACCACATTTCCAGAGCGCAGGTGTAGCGCAGTCCCATCCAGACGTAGTTACTGTTGGCCTTCTTGGCTCTGTCTTGGACACATATCTGCTCATCAGGGTTAGAAATGTAGACCGCAGGTCATGGTGGTGCTCTCTGCAGTAATTCAAGGCCTGCTCCCAGATCTTGCTTTCATTGATCAAGATCACTTTATCTACCACAGAAGGAATGACGAACACACAATCACACAGGCTGCTTTGTTTAGTTACAGTAAATGTTGTGAACTCTGGGCTTTAATAAGGATTTTCAAAGGCAAATACTGATATACCAGAAATAAAGGTTAAAATCACTATTTGCATGTTGAAATTGATTTTTAAAGTTGACAATTTTCATCTGGAAAAATTACAACTTTAGCAAACAACAATAATAAAATGTGAACACAGCTTTAATGTTGCAAAGACAAAACCGCACTGGTAAGGACACTGACAGCAAGTAGATATAAAACTCAGTGTTTCTGAATACATATACTCACCACTGAAAGTAATATAATGTAACATGCATACAGTAGGCTGTGTGCATAAATAAATTTGGTGGATTTTCAGACTGTTGCTAATAATATTCTTATGGTGCAATATAGAGAAAACTTACCATCAGAGCATAAGAGGGGATTTTGGTCATCACAGTCCGTCGTACTTCCATCTGCCCGTTTCATCCAACATGGTCATAGCACAATTCAATAAACAGTTTATAGAGTAAATAGCATCTGTTTCAATCCAGATGAAGCTGCAACTGATTTTTTGTGTTAAAATTTGAAATGATAAAATTAAACTATATAGACGATAGAAACAACGAGAGAAAGTATTTGCAAAAAGGGTTCAAGAGCTTGAAATAGCATTTGTTTGTTTTTTTTACTGAAAGAGGAGCACAATAAAAAATGAAGCAACACAACACCTCCACTTATACAGGCAGTTGTGTGATTTCAGTAGTGCTGCTGTAGAAGCAGTACACTCATCCACTTACCCATCAGAATGAGCAGAAACAAACAAACAGCCATTAACAAAAGGAGCAAAGGGATTATTGATTTAAAGTATTGAGTTGTGTGTGTGTATCCAACTCTGTGCAGACTGATATTCATAACTTAAGGAAAATAGAATTAAACCAAATAAATTAAAAAAATGAGGGGGATGATCATATACATACACTATATAATTTTGCATTCACATACTTATATATACCCAGATATACACATATTCATAATACAAAAATAAATGAAATGAACAGATCATAAATGATTAGAAAGAGAGGAAAGGTGGAAAAGAAAAAATGAGGTAGGTTATATTCTCAGTAAATTTGGTTTGATTGATAGGTCCTCTCAGCTGCTCGTAAACTTCTACAGAGTGACATAGAAGCATGGACAATGAGGACTAATAACTGTAACAATAATGAAATAAAAGCAACTTGTTATATTTCTAGGAGTTTGTGGGAATGGGCGTAGCCTTGGCACCTGGTATCTGGTTTAAGTTAAAAGAGGTTAGAAATGGATTCCAAGTGTCAGTAAAGGTTGGCATATTATTCTTATGGGTGGATATTTTCTCTAGTGTGATATATTCTGAGAAAGTTGGTCCAGTGGTTGATGTGTAATGAATTATTAGATTTCCAGTTTAGAAAGACTGTTTTCTTGATGATAGTTAAAAAGATAAGAAGTGGGTTTTTGAATTTAATTGGTAGGTCTGTCCTGTAAATGTTTTATTTACTCACTACAAAGAGGAGATCCAGCACCTGACAAGGTGGTGTTCAGATAACAATCTTGTCCTGAACACCAACAAGACTAAGGAAGTCATTCTGGATTATAGGAGGTACAGGAAGACAAAATATGCTCCTCTTCTCATACACGGGGAGGTGGTGGAGCAAGTGGATAACATCAAGTTCCTGGGCATCCACATCACATCTGACCTGACCTGGTCTCTGAACTCATCCTACCTGGTGAAGAAAGCCCAGTAAAGGCTTTTCTTCCTCAGGAAGCTGAAACGTCTGGTCTCTCCTCTCAGCTGCTCGTAAACTTCTACAGAGCGACAGTAGAGAGCATCCTCTGTCTTAGTGTGACAGTGTGGTACGGGAACTGCTTCCCCAGAGCTGTGAAATCAATCACCCCCCTAACCCCCAGTTTACACACACAACCTCCCCCCTATGGACAGACACAGACAGAACACTGGACCTCTGCAGACACACACCCATGCTCACACCTCCTCCTAAAGACTGAGATTTGCACTGAGCTGCACTTTATAATGTTACTACACTCTTTTGCTCCTAACATGCTGCTGACCTGATTAGGTCCCATACATTCCTTTTTATTTGTTCATTGTTTTATATTGACTTATACAATTGTGTGTTATGTAAATAATGTGTCTGTCTTTTAAGCTGAGAGCTGCTGGAAAAAAATTTGTTGTGCTGTGCATAATGACAATAAAGATACTTGACTCTTGATGGATGGATGGATGAACACTTGACTTATTTTATGTTGGAATAAAAAAAAGAAAAAGAAAGAAATGAGACATGGGCCATTTTTACTGCTTTTGTACATTTGAGTAAATATAGACTTATTTTCTGCAGAAGCTAAATAAACTGTTGTGCTGCACATTTGGGAGTTTGTGTAATAAGGAAATACTGTGCAAGGAAAGGAACATAGGAAATTGTATGCAAATTATAATCAGACCAGATACAACAGATGTTCACATTCATAAATCCCATTGCACAGTGGTCTGGCTTGGACAGAATAACAGGAACACCTGTATAGTACAGTAAATGTCAGTGCAGGAGACAAATGGCTTGTAGGGTGGAAAACGATACAAGGGTGGAGGTTGATAAAGGAATAACATCAAGTTCTATTTTAAAGCATGAGAAATATACAGTATATTTTGAAATTCCATATTAAATTGTAAGTATAATTTGATAATTAAAGATAAAAATATAATTATTAAATAGCGCTGTCACCTCACAGCAACAAGGTTCCAGTTTTGAGCTCTGGCTGATCCGTTGCCTTTCTTTGTGGAGTTTACATGTTCTCCCTGTGCCTGCGTGTGTTCTCTCTAGGTATTCCGGTTTCCTCCCACAGTCCAAAGACATGCAGCATAGGTTGACTGGTGAACATTCATCACTGTAAATTTCTTTAATTTTTGAAACCAGGCTATTTTCTGTTAGTGTTAATTCAAAACATCACTCTGAGTCAACATTACCAAAAACCTAACAAAACAAAACACAGAAACCTTCACAAAGTTAGTATTTCCCCACTGTGGGATCAATAAAGTTCTACCCTACCCATTTCCTGAAAGAGTATTGTACTTGAAATTGGCATTTTTGCCCCAAAACACATACACTGAATCCAGAATAACAGTTCACTGCTGTTACATGATAGTGTTAACTTACATGTTCCTGGTCTCCTCAGCTTCACTCCACTGATGTCTCTCCTCACTGTGCCGACAGAGACTCATCACAAGAGCATTAATGCAGTAGGATACCGTATACATGGGCCGAACCAAGGGGGTGGCCAGGGATGGCACACAGGAGCCAGGTCAAAGTTCAGTTCACACACATTAAAATGAACTGACTCACACTCACAACTGTGAACTCTTAACTAAGTTCACAGACCCAAGAAAATCAACAAAAAGTCCCAAATCAAAAACCTTTCACCACAAAAAGAAAATTTCTATTTATGTTGTTTGACTTATTTTTGCTCCCTAAATTAGGATTACTATTATTCCAGCAGTGTTTTATTCCCCTTTATATGGCTGATTATAGAACTAAATAAAAATTAAATTAAATCTAAATCTGATTAAATTAAACACCATTTTATTTTATCTGGATCAACGACTGAAATGGAAATTATGTTATGGCCTTAAACTGTACATTTTTAAATCTAAAATAAGCATTTTCACCCGGGCTTGTGAAACAACACATAACCATTCAATTGTTTAAAAGTTTATTCATCTTGCAGAAGAATTAAATTACCCCCTCAACCTCCAAAAACTGTGATTACATCATAAACATATTCTAATATAATATAACCAGAATTTAACACTATAACACTAGTAGAGATAGGCAAAGTCAGTGATGTGAATAATATTATATTACACAGGATACAAATTCCAAAAAGAAAGAAAATCTACCCTTAAAAATATATAAAATGAACTAATGATCACTGCATGTTAGCATCTACAGATGGTGAGGAGTTGATAACATATGACAAGGAGATTGAAAATATGTTTACATGGTTACTTCAGATTGAATTATTCAGTGATACAGCTGTAAATGTACTCAGTACTTTGTGTTTGACTTACTGTAACTGTGGCCATTTTTCTTTGTAACCTGCTGCTATTACATCGGTTTGTAGTTTTATTTTTCTCCTCCTCAGGAAGTAATATCTAAATTTCCCACAATACCATTCAGTAAACCCAAAAATTCAAGTGCATAGATGAATACAGAGTATGTTAACCAGAGAGCAGAATGGGTTTTAACCCTTAGAACAGATAAAATTAAACCTCATATTTTCCTGCTTACTGGTCCAGTCATGCTGTCCCCCACTGTCCATGGCTCCAGACATGTCACACTCATCAAGCTTTCCATTCGGGGCCCAGTTCTCATAGCTGACTACGTTGTCGCTGACCCAAAACCAGAAACCCAGAGTGCAGGTGTAGCGCAGTCCCAGCCAGACGTAGGGACTGTTGGCCTTCTTGGCTCTGTCTTGGACCCATCTCTGCTCATCAAGGTTAGAGATGTAGACCAGGTCATGGTGGTGCTCTCTGCAGTAATATAAGGCCTCCACCCAGGTCTTGTTTTCATTGATCAGGATCACTTTATCTGTCATGAACAAACACAGGAGGTTCAGTTAAATTTTGAGAACAACAGGCTCCAAGAATTTGACACCAATGCTGCTAGCAGTTGACTGTTGATGTTTGGCCTTGTAAAAGTGAGACAGACATTGAGAGAAAAGCTGTGACAATCATGAAAAACAGAAGCATCCAAATGTGTCAAAATCACAAGTGCAGATGACCAGAGCAGCAGAGTGGGTGTAGCACTACAGAGTCTGGAGACAATACCAGTCAGGTTCTGTGTTCAGGTGGATCTTCAGTGATGGAGCAAGATATGGAGATGTTATGTTATCTTCACAGATGTTTAAAAGACACTCACCATCATAGCAGATGAAGGGTTTTCTTTCACCACAGTCACAATCTTTCCACCTGCCTGTGTTTTTCAACATGGTTGCTGCACATGTGTTGTTGCCTTGCTGATTGTTAGGCACCGCCTCCCAGTGTCTGAAAGAGAAACCACTCCCATCTGACCACCCCCAGCTGTCTCTGAACAGTCCGACATACACCGGATATTTCATTTCTTTACTCAATATAGTTATAAGTGTGAGCCCATTATTTTAATCCAATGAGACCAAAAATGTTCAGTAAAAAAAAAGAGACAGCTGTACTGCCATAAAACAGGTACAGTAAGATGATCCACTTACCCACCAGGATAAACAGAAACAGACTCAACTGCATCTTTTCTCTGTTAAATAAAACTGATATGTTAGTAATATGCAGTGAAACAAATGGAACAGTTTAAACAGCCTTCTTCAGTTCAAATATATAAACATTTTTTGTATGTCCAGTTAAAACAAACTCGAAGTTTAGGTAGTAGTGAATACAAAAATCATAGACAAGTCAGATGATGATGATGATGATGATACACGTAGTAATAATAGAACAGTGTTAACAATCTGAAATGTTTTCACAAAGGTTAAAAAACATGGAAAATGTGATAATACAAAATTGTAGTTGCAACTATTTGAAATTGCACAATTAGTTTAGATATGTCTAGCAGCCAGTCTAAATTTTAATTATACGTACATTAGCTGTATGAATGATGGAACTTACATCTGGTGGTTTCTTCTCTCCTTGCTTCACTCTGATGTCCCTCCTTGTTGTGTAGATCCTGACTGCTCTACTAAAAGCCATATAAAATTGGGATTTGAATATTGACATGCAGAGTTTATTTTTAACAGGCCTGCCCAACAAGGCAGGAGATCAGGAGATGTGTCACTCTAAAAGGCTGTATCCATCCACAATGGGAATGAGCTGAACTCGTGTCCACTAGTCCAAAATCAAATTTGTAAAATTTATTGTAAAATACCTTTTACCAACTGAGTTAGGATCGCTGTTATGCCAGCAATGATTTTGCCAATCCCAGCTGACACTGGGCGAGAGGCAGGGTTCACCCTGGACAGGTCTCCAGTCTGTCACAAGGCTCAACAACCACACACACTCACACTCACTCCTACAGTCCTACGGACAATTTAGAGTAATCAACCAATCAACCTAAGAAGCCAGATTACCGGAGAGAACCCACACAAGCACAGGGAGAAGATGTAAGCTCCATACAGAAAGGCCCCGGAGTCAGCCAGGGCCCAAACTCGGAACCTCCTTGCTGTGAGGCAACAGCACTATCCACCATTTTTATTTCCATAACTCATCTTTAGTAATCACCAGGATGGAAATGAAGTATTATAAAAAGTCAAATTACTGTACCTAATGGCTTGTAAACATTCACACTGATGTCACTACGAACAAAGAGACCTGTTCGCTCTGACAACCTTCGTTTCTTCTAAATCACACTGATACTGAAACAGCCATCTTGTGTCTCCATGTCTGTGTACAATTTGCATTTCTGTGGAAGTCAAGCATATTATTTTTATCTTCTGATACAGATCGGAGGTGCGCACATAAAACCTATCTTTATTATGTTTACATGGGACACAGAGGGCATTTTAAGGAATATAATGTATAGGACTATTTGTAGGAATAGCACAGGTGTAAATAATAATGTCAATGTTGGCTGAATATGCTTCAATTTCAGGGTTATATTATGACAAGCCAAAATATGTGCTGGGTACCGCAAGAGGCCCATTTTATTGCTTCTAACAATAGTATCTCATCAACTTTTAAAAGATTGCTACTGGTTACTATAAATTCCTTACAAAGTACCACAAAGTACATTATTATTAAGAGTAGTAATAGCAGTAAAGACCAACATAACATGTTAGATTTATTGCAACTTTTTCAGTGATTGTCAAATCATAGTTTCGCAACTGTGACACATACAGGCACAGAACGCCATTCAGTAAACCCAGAGAACACAGAGACTTCAACAATATTCCACCATAAAAAATAAAGTGAGTAAAAAGAAAAAAAAGAGGGGGGGGGGGGGGTTAACATCTTGTATTCCCTGTAGGTTTAGAGAAATATAGTAAAACATGTCAAGTCCATGTAATTAGAGACAGAAAATGTTCCACTTGAACAGGACTTAAAGTTTGGGCATACATTTAATGTGGAAGAAAAAATACTTTACATTAGTGGGTAGGATGCAAACCATAGTCCAACCAGATGCGACAGATGTTTGTTTTCATGTCTATCTTGCACATTTACTGTAGGTTTTCCACCTGCACATTGACCACGTAAAGCTTTAAGGCTTCATCCTCAGTTTAGTTTGCTGAATAAGGTGAGAAATTATTATATAAATTCCATTTTACATATGCTAAAGTTCACAGTAAGTAATACAGCAGAGATACCTTACATGTTGTTTCCTGCTCTCTTCAGCTTCAGTCTGCTCTAACATCGGCCTCGTCTGCGCTGATGGAGACTGATCACAGTAGTATATTAATGATCTGTACATATACACTGGTTGCCACATTAATATCAGCATTTGAATATTAAAATACTGAGGCCTCTGATTTTTATCACCACCACTGTTGACAGAAATAACTAACTGTGCTTCAGGCGTGTTGCAGTTACAGTAGTTCAAAACTTTAAGAACATTACCAAGTGGATTAGGATTGATATCAAACCAGCTTTCTTTTTTTGTAGCATATCTATAATCATTTATTTGGTTTCACCTTACTTTAATTCAATTTTCAGATATAGCTAAGAAATCTTATGGCCACCAGGAATAAAAAACTAACTACCAGCCATGTGATCAATCACATAACCTTTACCATGAAATAAAACATTAGATACACTTTAAGTGTATCAGATACACTTAATTTGACCCATAATTATTTAAAAGCCACAAATGAGTCAATAGTTTTATGGCAGTTTACAGTAATTGAACAATGTGAAAGTTTCCTGGAACATCTTGGTATCCACCAGTGGTAAAATGTAACCAAGTGCATTTACTCAGATACACAGTACGTAAGTATAAATGTATGATATTTCTGCTTAGCTGAGGTTACTTCACAGATTAGGGTTTTACATATAAAACAGATGGTGAACCTTTTCGTTTTGTGGCATTGGTAGTATCTGAGACCACCCTGAGAACGCACAATTATTATTTCCTCCAGGTCAAAGGTACTCAGGCAAATAATGTATGCTCTGGTACAGTACCAACAAAAAAACAACAAAAAAAACCCAAAAAACTGTAATATCAAATGTAAAAATGGCTCAGTAACTACTTTGCTTAAGTATATATTATAATTCTCTCAGGTATTTTGTAATAAATGCTGTACATACAGTACATTTCCAAATATGTAACCAGTCTTGCAAAAATTGAATGAACTATACCACACAGGTCATGTAGCCTTGAATAGGAAAGTGAATATTTTTCTCTTCATCTCAGATTGTGATGAACTGTTCTCAGACTTTTTATCCATATTCACCATTTTCATTCAATATTATCACATCTGCATTCAAGAAACTCAAAAAATTCTACTTAATACTGAATAAAAACTGACTATATAAAGAGAATACTTAATAAAACAGAATATTTTGAATAAACAATCTATCTCTGTGCCCTAAATCACTCACTCGACACTCCTTTAAAGAATCACCCTTTTGCTTCACAGTGACCAGTAAACTGAAAGTAAATTGTGGTTGTCCAGCAGCTCCGAATCATACAGTGTGTTCTTAAGCCGCTGGAAAACCACAGCCCGAGCCCTACCAGCGAGATAGTCATAGAACCATTTTATGGACTGTTCATCTAGTCCTAACAAGAATAGCTTTTCTGGTGAAATAGTACAAATATAAACAATAATGTAAATATGGAATATTCTGCATGCAGCCCTTGTGTCTGTTCTTTCCATATTCCTAATCTTCTTTTCATTAATTTTGGGTTATTCATTTTACTTTATTAAACCTTCATTTCCTGTCTTTAGTTATACACAATAATATATACATACTATACATAATGTATAGTGTGTATGTGTGTGTTCTTGTACTTGCTACATAGTGAGGACCAAAACAAATTTTTTTTTTCCTACTGAGTGAGGACATTTTTGGAAAGTGAGAATATTATGGCCAGTCCTCACTTTCTGAAACACCTTTTTGGAAGTTAAGACTTGGTTTTAGGATCCAGGTTAGAGTGTCAATGAGTGTCCTCACAAAGACAGAAGTATGTTTTTGTGGGTGTATGTGCATACATAGATGGGTGACTCATTAATGTCCAAACCTGAAGAGATGAACAAACAAGTTTAACGAATACTGATACTTCCATAATGGTGTATTAAATAATACAATAATACAACTCATTGATCATATATTAAGATCTTCACAGTCACCAGATTGTCATCAAATTAAACATTTACAGGAGATTAAATGGTTTGAGTTCCTCACCTCCATCATCAAAACACCAAATGAGGGAGGTTTGGAAGAACAGAGTTCATGCTTTTAGCAAACATCCAGAAACTTGAATATACACTGATCGGCCACTTTCATAGGCATAGGGGTTCCTAATATTCTGACCCTCTCATGTATACACTGTAGCAGGGGAGAACAAAAATACAGGGACAACTCTGGGTATAATGTCGTCCAGTACAACACCACCTTTAACTATGGCCTCAATAATAAACATATAATTGAATTTATATATTTATGATAATTTCACCAAAAGCTGAAACATGTAGAGTTTCATAAACACAGAAGTTAAAGTGGAAGTGTTGCACTGAATTGCATACAATTGTACAGGTGTACCTATTAAAGTGGCCGGTTAGTGTATACCTAGGAACAAAGCTGTTCTGGAGGCTTGTGACATCTCGACAACAAAATAAAGCACTCGATGTTGGTTTTTTTTTATACTTTCAGAGGTGCAGCGTCTATAGGTGCTGATGCAACAGCACCGTATACCTGGCATCTACTGACGTCCACGATAAAACACATTTTCTTCGGAGACATATTTACTGGCAGTAGAAAGTGAGAACATTCTGCTGGTTTCCTCTTATCAGCAAAGCAGGGCAGTGGAGGCCGCAGGTCAGAGCATCCAGCCAGGCCATGTACAGAGCACTGGGGCAGTCGCTCTGTGGCACAGGAAGGCTCCTGGAAACACCACCACATTTACATGAACAGAACACATAAAACAGAATAAGAACAAACACTGCTTGTACTTCACCTACAACGAAACCATTAAACAGTCAAATTAGTGCATGCTATGTTTTTGCAGCAAGAGATTAAATCGCTTCCTTCCCTTTGTTTTGTCTGAATCACACTGCATAAAAATAGCCATTGCCTGGTAGCTGTGTATATAATTTGACATCCCTGTGACATTAGACATGTATTATTTTCACCCCCAAAACTGTTACAGAGGCCTGTATTCATGTATATTTGCATTGCAAAGCCTGCGAAGCAAAGACAAAACTAGAGAGAGAGAGATTAAGGCCACTCATTCACAAGAGTATAGTTGTGTTATAGATACACATCTAATTGGGCTATGGCAGGATATAGACACTTCACACTATATATCAGAAATGAGTACTTTCTTCTTCTAAGTTAAATTGTGCAGTATTGTACATCTGGTAAGTCTTGATGTCATATTCTTCTTAATCCTTCATGTCCAAAACTTAACTAATAATACAAACTGTGTACTCACACAAGCACGAGAGCAGCTTGTTGTGAATTCCTCCGAATGATTTCATTCAGTCTCACTTTTCTCTCAGACTATGAAAGGAGAAAAAATATGCAACAATCTGTCATATAGGGACAAGCAACTGAAAGATCTCATGTATGGAGGCATTTGACACAGCAGATGACATTATAAGGGACAGCGTCTTGGGTTAGCCACGACAAGTGTACACCCTAAATACCTTAAGTCTGAAGGCCTCAAACTGCTTGTCAGATATTTTCCACGGGACACTTTGTCTAAGCTCCTCCACTGAGATACCATCCTGCTGTTCATCATTTAGCCTGAAGGGAGCAACGTTGTCCACAAACCTACTCAGGCTGAGCAGGAACAAGAACAACAGGACAGAGGTCAATGAGCTAAAATCTACAAAAACTACGGAGATCTAGATCTGTATTCTTTGAAGTCATCCTAACATTCATAACACATGGTGTATTGCACACAGTAGATTTTAAAATGCGTCATTTGTAATCATTATTAGGCTGATTTCTTCCACTATCACTACAACTATTCAGTTTTCAGTGTATGTTCTAACACTGAAGGCGAATGCAAGAGTTTTGGCAGCATACTTCTTCGAGTGTGGACGCTTCTCACTGTCAGTCATGACAATAACGTCATTAAAATCCAGACGAAATCTCTTCAGCAGTGCGATCATCCTAAAAGAAACAACAGTCAAAATGTTTACATTTCTTTCCACAGATCATTATGCACATCATGCAACAGGACTGGAGGGGGAAATCTGATATTTCTTTGTATTACACTAAATCCTCAAGATTAAGTCTTTTCAATTCAAACACCCTGCATGACCGAATATATGGAATTTAGAATAAATGATTTTCTAAGATTACTTCTCTGTACTGTATTTGGATTTTTGAAGTAAATTATTTTTGCAGCTCAAGAAAACTTTACAGGGACAAAAATGTACAGAGACATGACCAAAACTGTTATCTTTAAAGGTTTTCGGTGTGCACCAGGACGGGAAGCTGTCTTGCTCAACAACGTTTGCTCATAATTCAGGTAATTCAAGTTTGGTGGATTCTCCAGTGTTTGAAAATACAATTATTAAAAATACAAATACTAACAGTTATCCCAGAAGGTTAACCAGAGACAACCTACTCTTTGAGGCGTTCGTCCATGTTCTGTTCATCTCCCACGATGAAGACCCTGACCTTGCTGCTGCGCCAGCGTTTTCTCCTGGTGAGCAGGTAAGGTACCAGCAGAGTCAGACCTTTAAAGGTAAGATGACAACAAAGACCGCACTTAAGAAAAAAAAAAGACAACTTAGATTTGTGGCTGTCAGGAGGGAAGAGATGAAGACTGCCCTTTATCCAAAAACCAAAGAGGACACCACTGAGGGTTAAAGTTGATCATCCTAATATCTTGAAGTTCTTTCTTATTTTTTTTTTTACTGAGGTTGCTATATAGATTATCATCCCCATTCTTCATCATGCATTTGATGCACACATCATAATAAGCTGACATAACCGGTGTACCTCCACAACCCTACAGGATAAGTGCTTTAGATGATGGGTGGAAAACCGATGTATTGTGCTTGTTTTGATCAAACCCCTCTCTGTGCTCACCTCCATCATCAGCGATCCAGTAGATGTCAATGGTTTTCTTCCCCTGGTCACTCTGAAACACTGTCCTGGTCTGATCGCTGTCGTCTTTGTCTGAGATGTCCTCAACTGTGACAACAAGAGGAGCAGCAGTGAAGAGTGGGGCCAATAATTTTATTCATTTTAACTGTGGTTCTTTATGGGTGACAGTGTTGCAGTGGGGCTCCTCAGAGAATTAGGGGAAGGGTAATAAATTTAAGTTTAAATGAAACAAAATCATGTGGAGTAAACTGCAGGCTAATGCCATCACTACAAACCTGTTTTTACAATAAATGTTTTTTCCTGCAAAGTCTGAGTTTGTATTCACTGACCTAACGGTGGGTTGGCTTTGTTGTTAATGGCTCAACTATAGACTAGGATTATATTTGCTTATGCAAGGCTCAGGGGAACATGTCACATTGTTTCCAGCAGCAGCAAATTCTACAGAAATGAGCGCAAGTCAATGCGGTGTCCCAACAACATGTAAACCTGTACAGTTAAGTGCTCACCTGATTTCATCTCACTATGTTCCTTGTGGTCATTTTCTGCATATTCATCAGACTCAAACCCGTGGTTCACTGGAACAAAGATATTTTATCTTTCAATGGTGCACAAAAGGTGTCATATTGTAAATAAAAATCACATGGAGAACATTCAAAGACATTGTGGAAATGTAGATTTCTAACCTTCAAATTCATAGTGGCTGTAGATATCGAGGCCGTCCATCATCCTCAGGATACATAGACTGTAGTTGTGGTCAAAGGTATCACTAGGTCATAGAACAGCAGTAGACAAGGGATAAGTTAACATGTTTTTTAAAGGTCTGTGCAAAATTGTGATTCAGTAACCTTACTATATATACAATCTTTTATTTCCAGCAAGACCATAAAAACATGTTAAAAATCCACCTGAAGGCCCTGCAAATCTGTTCTCTTTACAATGCACCATTAATAAGGACCAACTTACTATATAGTGTTAATATAATCTACTGTGCTTTCAGGAGCAGTCTCCCTCCAGTTTGACTTGAAGCCCAGGACCAGAGTGTTGGGCTTCAGTTTGCCGAGACCAGAGGCCTTAAGAAATGGTGAATGAGAACAGAGTGTTTTAGGGTCAAAAACATACTGGAAGTACATGTACTACATGGGCAGGCTCAGGTCTTACAGTGAGAAAAACAATATGATTCAATGTTCTTTAAAAGAAATAATTAGAAAGTAATAGATGTTGTGAGAAATGAATGAAAGTGGAGGTAAAAACAAATAATTTGTAACAGCAATGTTACAGTACAGCCACCTGTGGGCACTGAAGCAAACTAATTACCATCTCTGAAAATTACAAGCATGTGACAACTTTGTTAAACCTGCAATCAAGCTAAATTCCTATTAAATGTGTTTTGTACATTTAAAGTAGTAAAACTTCCCACAGATAAACACATCCAGCTTCTCAAATAGCTGTAGCTGTACCTGTAACAAGTGTCGAGCTCCAACTCTGAGGCTCTCTGCAGTGAAAGGAGTATAAAACGAGCACACCTTCCTCTTCTTCATCCACTTCACCATGCTGTCTGTGGCGTCGTGTGGTCGAGTCTGCCTCTCCTGCTCCTAGAGGAGGCAGGAATTCAATATTATTTTTACACAACAAGGTACCTGGCATCTACTGACGTCCACGATAAAACACATTTTCTTCGGAGACATATTTACTGGCAGTAGAAAGTGAGAACATTCTGCTGGTTTCCTCTTATCAGCAAAGCAGGGCAGTGGAGGCCGCACGTCAGAGCATCCAGCCAGGCCATGTACAGAGCACTGGGGCAGTCGCTCTGTGGCACAGGAAGGCTCCTGGAAACACCACCACATTTACATGAACAGAACACATAAAACAGAATAAGAACAAACACTGCTTGTACTTCACCTACAACGAAACCATTAAACAGTCAAATTAGTGCATGCTATGTTTTTGCAGTAAGAGATTAAATCGCTTCCTTCCCTTTGTTTTGTCTGAATCACACTGCATAAAAATAGCCATTGCCTGGTAGCTGTGTATATAATTTGACATCCCTGTGACATTAGACATGTATTATTTTCACCCCCAAAACTGTTACAGAGGCCTGTATTCATGTATATTTGCATTGCAAAGCCTGCGAAGCAAAGACAAAACTAGAGAGAGAGAGATTAAGGCCACTCATTCACAAGAGTATAGTTGTGTTATAGATACACATCTAATTGGGCTATGGCAGGATATAGACACTTCACACTATATATCAGAAATGAGTACTTTCTTCTTCTAAGTTAAATTGTGCAGTATTGTACGTCTGGTAAGTCTTGATGTCATATTCTTCTTAATCCTTCATGTCCAAAACTTAACTAATAATACAAACTGTGTACTCACACAAGCACGAGAGCAGCTTGTTGTGAATTCCTCCGAATGATTTCATTCAGTCTCACTTTTCTCTCAGACTATGAAAGGAGAAAAAATATGCAACAATCTGTCATATAGGGACAAGCAACTGAAAGATCTCATGTATGGAGGCATTTGACACAGCAGATGACATTATAAGGGACAGCATCTTGGGTTAGCCACAACAAGTGTACACCCTAAATACCTTAAGTCTGAAGGCCTCAAACTGCTTGTCAGATATTTTCCACGGGACACTTTGTCTAAGCTCCTCCACTGAGATACCATCCTGCTGTTCATCATTTAGCCTGAAGGGAGCAACGTTGTCCACAAACCTACTCAGGCTGAGCAGGAACAAGAACAACAGGACAGAGGTCAATGAGCTAAAATCTACAAAAACTACGGAGATCTAGATCTGTATTCTTTGAAGTCATCCTAACATTCATAACACATGGTGTATTGCACACAGTAGATTTTAAAATGCGTCATTTGTAATCATTATTAGGCTGATTTCTTCCACTATCACTACAACTATTCAGTTTTCAGTGTATGTTCTAACACTGAAGGCGAATGCAAGAGTTTTGGCAGCATACTTCTTCGAGTGTGGACGCTTCTCACTGTCAGTCATGACAATAACGTCATTAAAATCCAGACGGAATCTCTTCAGCAGTGCGATCATCCTAAAAGAAACAACAGTCAAAATGTTTACATTTCTTTCCACAGATCATTATGCACATCATGCAACAGGACTGGAGGGGGAAATCTGATATTTCTTTGTATTACACTAAATCCTCAAGATTAAGTCTTTTCAATTCAAACACCCTGCATGACCGAATATATGGAATTTAGAATAAATGATTTTCTAAGATTACTTCTCTGTACTGTATTTGGATTTTTGAAGTAAATTATTTTTGCAGCTCAAGAAAACTTTACAGGGACAAAAATGTACAGAGACATGACCAAAACTGTTATCTTTAAAGGTTTTCGGTGTGCACCAGGACGGGAAGCTGTCTTGCTCAACAACGTTTGCTCATAATTCAGGTAATTCAAGTTTGGTGGATTCTCCAGTGTTTGAAAATACAATTATTAAAAATACAAATACTAACAGTTATCCCAGAAGGTTAACCAGAGACAACCTACTCTTTGAGGCGTTCGTCCATGTTCTGTTCATCTCCCACGATGAAGACCCTGACCTTGCTGCTGCGCCAGCGTTTTCTCCTGGTGAGCAGGTAAGGTACCAGCAGAGTCAGACCTTTAAAGAGAAGAAGAAGAAGAGAAAGACAGCGCCTTAGGAAATGGCTAAAAGACATTACCGGAGGATAGAAGGTGACAAGCCCAGTGGGTTTTATTTTAACTGAGCTGGCTATAGAGAATTTTATCCCATCCCTATGTATCCCTTTTATAGGCATTTGACATTGTACACAAACTAGTAAGTCAACATAGAACCAATGTTTTTGTACTTGTAAACCCTCTTTGGGCTCACCTCCATCATCAGCGATCCAGTAGACGTCGATGGTCTTCTTTCCCTGGTCACTCTGGAACACGGACTTGATCTGATCACTGTAGCCTTTATCAGAGAGGTCCTCAACTGTGACAACAAGAGGAGGAGCAGTGAAGAGTGGGGGCAGATGATATATTTACAATATTATTTATGCATTCTGAGGTGTCACTATATAAATAAAATATGGACAAGGTGGTTTGAGTCTAGTTCATTGGAGTTATTATATGTTATGTATATTTCCATGAAATTCATGGAGACACATTTGGCAACTTATGCAGCATCAAAATACATCTCACAACAATCTTTTTAAATGTATGTAGTGATATGTAATGTACTGTCAGTCAAAACATTGTCCACAAAATCTAATCTAATGTGAATATGTACAGTGAGAACTCACCTGACTGTCTCTCAGGAGATGGCTGGTTGTCATTTTCTACTGATTCAGATTCAAAGCCCTGGTTTTCTAAAGAACAGAAATTACATTCTCAACCACTGCTGTTTTTTTTTATTTTGTAAAAATATACATGCAATTTTGTATAAAAGCAGACAAACATTAAAGGTATAGATTTCAAACCTTCAAAATCAAACTCAAAGATATCCAGCCCGTCCATCATCCTCAAGATACATAAACAGTAGTTGGAGTCAAAGGTGTTACTAGACAAAACAACAATGAGGGGGGGGGATGAGACCCAGTAAACTTAAACTGTTGATATTGTGACAACTCAAGGGAAGAAAACTGACGTTGCTGCATATTTCAAATATGTTAAAGTATGGGCAGATAAATGTCTCTCTTAAGTAACGCACTGAAAATCTTGTAAAGAAACTTGCTTTTCTTTGGAATCCAGGAAAATTTGTTTCCTCTTCAAAATGCACCATTAATAAGGACCAACTTACTATATGGTGTTGATGTAATCTTCAATGCTTTCAGGACAACTTTCTCTCCAGTTTGACTTGAAGCCCAAGACCAGAGTGTTGGGCTTCAGTTTGCCGAGACCAGAGGCCTTATGAAATGGCAGATTAGAGCAAATGAAAACACACTGTGAGCATGTATATTGAGAGTCACAGGTTTTACAGTGAGACATACGGTATGTTTAAATGTTGTATTAAATAAGGTGAAAACTAAATGAGAATGGGTGTGAACAAGAGATATAACAATGGAAAGGATGAGATAATGTAACTTTAAAAGGCTATAATTTGAAGCCAGACAGATTCCCAGTAAATGTGTTTTGAACATTTAAAGCTGTAAAACTTCCCACAGATAAACACATCCAGCTTCTCAAATAGCTGTAGCTGTACCTGTAACAAGTGTCGAGCTCCAACTCTGAGGCTCTCTGCAGTGAAAGGAGTATAAAACGAGCACACCTTCCTCTTTTTCATCCACTTCACCATGCTGTCTGTGGCGTCGTGTGGTCGAGTCTGCCTCTCCTGTTCCTAGAGGAGGCAGGAATTCAATAATATCTTTACACAACAAGGCAACATCAGGACAGACACAAATGAAGGTGAAAGACATTCAACAACACCAGTCAAAGTGATGAGCAGCTGCTGTAAGGAACAAAACTGGTGAGGCTGAAGGACCGACCGTGATGATGTCTCCACAGATCATGAGGCTTATGTGCTTGGTGAAGGATCCAACAAAGTCTACCAGAGCAGGTCGCTGGTTTGGGGGCCCAGTCAGGACAAGACACTGTGGCCTGGAAGAACACACCAGAGAACAGAGATGAGGACCAACAGACAAAGTTTAAATCAACACCATCACCACTGATATCCAACTCCACAAGATTAAATATTAATGCAATATTGTTCTACTAATTCAAATGTAATGTTCTACTTAAAATTGATTAGACATACAATGGGTACAGAAAGTATTCAAACCCCCTTAAATTTTTCACTCTTTGTTATATTGCAGCCATATGCTAAAATCATTTAAGTTCATTTTTTTCCTCATTAATGTACACACAGCACCCCATATTGACAGAAAAACACAGAATGTTTGACATTTTTGCAGATTTATTAAAAAAGAAAAACTGAAATATCACATGGTCATAAGTATTCAGACCCTTTATTTAGTATTTAGTAGAAGCACCCTTTTGAGCTAATACAGCCATGAGTCTTTTTGGGAATGATGCAACAAGTTTTTCACACCTGCATTTGGGGATCCTCTGCCATTCCTCCTTGCAGATCCTCTCCAGTGCTGTCAGGTTGGATGGTAAACGTTGGTGGACAGCCATTTTCAGGTCTCTCCAGAGATGCTCAATTGGGTTTAAGTCAGGGCTCTGGCTGGGCCATTCAAGAACAGTCACAGAGTTGTTGTAAAGCCACTCCTTCGTTATTTTAGCTGTGTGCTTAGGGTCATTGTCTTGTTGGAAGGTGAACCTTCGGCCCAGTCTGAGGTCCCGAGCACTCTGGAGAAGGTTTTCGTCCAGGATATCCCTGTACTTGGCCGCATTCACCCTTCCCTCGATTGCAACCAGTCGTCCTGCCCCTGCAGCTGAAAAACACCCCCATAGCAGGATGCTGCCACCACCATGCTTCACTGTTGGGACTGTATTGGACAGGTGATGAGCAGTGCCTGGTTTTCGGGCCACTCTGCCCTAAAGCCCCGACTGGTGGGGGGCTGCAGTGATGGTTGACTTTCTACAACTTTCTCCCATCTCCCGACTGCATCTCTGGAGCTCAGCCACAGTCATCTTTGGGTTCTTCTGTACCTCTCTCACCAAGGCTCTTCTCCCCTGATAGCTCAGTTTGGCCGGACGGCCAGCTCTAGGAAGGGTTCTGGTCGTCCCAAACGTCTTCCATTTAAGGATTATGGAGGCCACTGTGCTCTTAGGCACCTTAAGTGCAGCAGAAATTTTTTTTGTAACCTTGGCCAGATCTGTGCCTTGCCACAATTGTGTCTCTGAGCTCTTCAGGCAGTTCCTTTGACCTCATGATTCTCATTTGCTCTGACGTGCACTGTGAGCTGTAGGGTCTTATATAGACAGGTGTGTGGCTTTCCTAATCATGTCCAATCAGTATAATCAAACACAGCTGGACTCAAATGAAGGTGTAGAACCATCTCAGGGATGATCAGAAGAAATGGACAGCACCTAAGTTAAATATGAGTGTCACAGCAAAGGGTCTGAATACTTATGACCATGTGATATTTCAGTTTTTCTTTTTTAATAAATCTGCAAAAATGTCAACATTCTGTGTTTTTCTGTCAATATGGGGTGCTGTGTGTACATTAATGAGGAAAAAAATAAACTTAAATGATTTTAGCATATGGCTGCAATATAACAGAGTGAAAAATTTAAGGGGGTTTGAATACTTTCCATACCCACTGTATACTGTTGGGCTGCTTATATACTATATTATCAGCTGACATGTGATTTGAGGAGAACTGATACATGATATAACTAAAACGTCTGGTCACTCACCTAAAATTCTTGACATGATCCTCCACTCCAGAAAGAGAGACAGAGTATGACAAAGCCATGTTGTAGGTACCTGCCTGGACCGATGAACCCCAGTTTGCCTCTGGATTTAAAAAACACAAGTGAGGTGCATATGAAAAAACTGAGCAGCAAATGTAAAAGAATAGGGCAAATAATCAGAACATATTTGAATTTTAGTATACTGTATGTATTTTGGTTTTCCACTCACTTGGCTTGGTGTAGTTGACATATCCAAACAGGAAGAAGATGATGCTGAAGGTCATGAGAGCAGCCCACCAAGTCAAGAGGAACATCAGCACTACAGAGATGACTGCTCCAAACAAAGCCGTCCATTTACTGTAGTAGTGAAATGAAGGCCTCCAACCTACAGTGACGACAGTAAGAATAAGAGGAGCTTGAGCTTTGATGGTTTGATGGTTTTGTTTTACATATCTAATAAAGAGCAGCAAGAGGCTTATCCCACAGCACTGGGCAAGAGGCAGGGTATCACTGGAACAGGTTATCAGAGAGCTGTTATTGAAGCACAGCTATAGCCCAGTTCATCTCTCTATCAAATGTTCACACCTTTGTGAGCTTGAATGTGGTCCAGAAATCAAGTGACCGTCTCTAGTCATTCAACCCATTTTACATTTAAAAATGTGTCGAAAAGCTTGACTAAATTTGAACAAAATCCAAAAAGCTATAAAGAAAACATCTGCCTCCTTAAATCAAAGGTCCTAATCTTCTGTACATCAGGAAAGACATGAAATAATGTGCTAGCAGATTGCATAACTTTCAAATGTGTTACTTTGTTAGAGCTCCACAAAACCATGCTTAGCGGTGGCCAAACGGAAAAAGGTCATACAGTATGGGTAACATTGTAAGGCAATGACAGCCAGGTTTGTCATTTACTCTGGAAGACTTTTGTCTAGTCTTGTCTGTAATGCATTGCAGCATGTGAGTAGGAAACTCACCAGGGGAGTTGGTGATTGAGGCGTGAAAGCAGCTGAAGTTGATGAGGCAGTAGGAACACAAGAAGAAGTTGGAAATCAAGCGTGCGATGATGTTCAGCTTACCTATAATGAAATGGGGGGAGAAATCAGCAACACATTACAAAGCAGTAATCGCAAACTATAAAAACTCCTTAAGCTGTTTCCTCCTTAATTCTAAGAAGGTGGCTGTGGTAGTGCAGTCGTCTCCCGACCAGGAAGTTGGTGGTTCAACTCACAGTCTCCCCCGCATGCCTAAGTGTCCCTGAGCAAGACACTGAACCCCGAATTGCTCCCGGTGGCTTGATTAGTGCCGTTGCGTGGCAGCCTGTCGTCATCGGTGTGTGAATGTTGTGTGTGAATGGTGTATAATCCTCTGTAAAGCACTTTGGCCAGTGCAACACACTGTGAGAAAGCGCTATATAAAATACAATCCATTTACCAAAAACACATTTTATTGAAGACATTAGCACATAAGAACAATAGTTTTAGTAACAAAATGGCAACAATATTAGATCACACCCACCAATGAGAATGAAGACCACAGCAATCAGGTAGCAGAGGATATAGGCCCGGAGTGGCTCATCATTTTTCCCATAACCCTTTGCAAAGAACCCAATGTATGGGTATATTTTGTCTCTGCACAGACACTGGCAGATAAAAAGCAGAAAATATGATTTAAATAAAAATTCTTCTTTGTTAGACTTCACTAAATATATGTTTTAAATAATTATAGTATAGCAATACTATTACAGTACCATAAGAATGCATATGAATATGATTAATATTAAATATATGTATCAGTATATTCAAGTTTAAATTGTCCAGAAATGACATGTTAAAAATATGGTGCAGTTTCTCTCTTAAAGCAGTGTGGCTGTCCAACAATGTCAAATTCTAATGCACAAAAAGTCAGTTTGTCTTTAGTTGGAAGTGTCAAATGATTAATTATTACAGTGTTTAAAATACAAACATGCAATGAGACAGTGTAAAACATGTTTCATTATATTGGTTTCCATTCTAGATACACAAAATCCAGAAAGTGAAACTAAGTAAGTAAGTATAACCTTTTGAATTGGAAACACAAAAATGTTTTTTTTTGTCAGCACACAAGGATGCATTAAATCACATTTAAAAGAAGAAAAATGCAACTCTCCCGTTTATTAAAGCTGGGTTTTAATTACAAAAATTGGTTGTTTTGTTAAGAAAAGTGGCATTTATAGATGTATCAGGCATTTTAGCACTGATTTTGCCCGTCTCTCTCACCTGAAACACTTTAGGAGCAGAGACGAGGAAGCCGAGAGCGGATGACAAACTGGCCGCAAAGACACCAGCAGTGATGAGGTAGTAAAAACCTGAAACCTGGCCCAGTACCTGGTTGGATTAAGAGTTAATTACGAAACAAAACAATGTATAAACAAAAAATGTATTAATCCGGCTTTTCCTTACCATTTCTTCACTTGTTCCTCAATACCACTCAAATTTGTGAACACTTAATATAAACACCATCATTTAAGGAAAACCGTTAAATTTCAGTAACCCAGTGTAAGAGTAGCGAGATTAAAAAGATACGTTTATTCCATGATGAATACTTCTGCAACTAGACTACCTTTGAATTATTGGCCAGACCATACTGGCAGGAGTCTGACAGTTTGCACTTCGTGAAGTTCCAGCCCAGGTTACAACCCACACCCACACAGCCGTCAGTGATGTTCGAGGTCAGTATGTCAGTTACATTACCAGAAGCGTCCCGTATGACACACGCCCCTAGAGCAGAAGGGAGATCAGCTTTTAGACCCTTGAAACTCACTTGATGCAGGTTATCACAGTATTTCACCTTTGTTGTTTTGTCGAAGTAAACATTAATATTAGATAGAAAGGCAGAAGAGACAAATCCACACAGAATCAAAGTATGTTAAAACCAGCATCTTACCAATAGTTGCTGAAATTCCTATATAACTGAGTGTTGTCCAGAAAATGGCCATGAGGGTACCTTTGGGGATAGCAGTGGCAGGGTCCTGCAAAAAGTAAAGGATACACAGATCAACACTAATACAACTGTTATTGGTATACAGTGCCTCTGCTGTCTTTCTTGACATACTTTGAGGTCTCCAGAGATGTTGGCTCCAGACAGGATGCCAATAGCAGAGGGGAAGAAAACGGCAAACATGTGGAAAAAATCATTTCCATTTCTCCAGTCTGCCTTCAGGTTTTCTAAGAAGATCTCACCTAGTGACAGGGAACAAAAAATAGACTTAAAATACATAAAATTCAGTATATAGTAAAAATGATATTGACATAACCTGTAGAAAGTGGCAAAAATGACTTGATATAATGTCTTCTGGTGGCAAAGAAGAAGGAATTGTGGGAATTGAAGAGCTGATGCTTGATGCTGATTAAATGGTTCTCCCATTACTGCATCAGATCTTTTGTTGTTTTAAAAATTCAAAAAAGTATGATAAATTCTTCTGTTTTTTAAATGAAAATCAATATAACGATCTCTACAATATATTAAAATAAGTGATCAACAATGCTGCTGACAGTAGTTTGTTCTGAGAAACTTAAACTCACTCCGGTATCCAAAGATGCCTTGGGCCTGTTTCTCTGGACTGGGAGGGATGAACGTGCCCACAAAGTAGTTGGTAAATGAGACCATGAGAACTATGAAGAATAAAATCTGGGTCTGAGAGACAGAGCCAGATGGAGAGAGGAGAAAAAAGGGAAAGGTATGAGAAAGTTAAACATAAGGTGATTTGGAGGTCATTTCCAAAGATTAAAGTGAGACAGGACAGGATGTGCTCACCTTTGACTCCCACTCCATCCCAGCCAGTGAAATGAGCAGAAGCATAGTCACCGTGATCACACCCACAATACGCACATCATTGTCTTCATCAACCATGACGACACCAAACTCCTACATTAATCAACCAAATTATTCACACATGCATAAGAACACGGTAATATTCTGGTATGCAAGTTATTTTGCATCAGCTATTTTTAAAAATCCTTTATACTGTATATGACTTTGTAAAAACAGCTTGTTCATTTCAGGTTGGCAGATTCTAACAGGAAGAAGAAACCTGTTAAAGCCAAATGACATAATCGGAAAAATGAAACAAACAAAAGCTCTGTAAAAAGTAAAAAGCATAATAAGTACCTGCATTAAATCACAGACCACCTCTGCAAAGCCCACAGTGTTAAGTGCACAAGCGAGAGCGTTGGCAAAGGAAAAAACCATCCCAATTGGTCCACCGATTTCAGGGCCCAGAGAGCGGGAGATCATGAAATAGGCCCCACCTGAAAATTATTTTAGCCCACAGAAGAGCCACACAGGACTAAGATTATTATCAAAGAACAGATGCTAAAAAAAGGAATAAAAAGGCTGCACTGAGGTACCCATGAAACTATGGAAAACATGCATGACTTGTGTAGTTATATTGTTCTTTTTATGTTTTTGAGCGGTATAGAAAAATTAAAAATTATAATGTCAAAATGATAATTTTATATATTTAAGCATCAATTTGCTTTATGTTCTGTCTGTGCAACTTTCTGTTCTTAAAGGCAAATGACTGACCTGAGATCACCCTCCCATTGGTGGCGATGGCAGAGATAGAGAGAGCGGTTACAGAAGTCACCGTCACAGACATCAGGATAATAAGGCAGGTCAACACTGAGATAAAAGAGAAGGTATAATTTATTATTATTGCAATACTAATATGTCAAGACAGAGATTTAAACGGCATGATAATAGTTTGAAGGAGGCTTTTTTTAATAAGACTTGACAGAGCTTTCACACTTTGGATATTGTGTAATATGGAGCACTAGGATTTATCACAAACAATCTAACTAAATGATTAAATAAAACATGAGTAAAGTTGGAAAAAACTTAAAAAATAAAGCATGCCTGTGCTTATTAATTTGAGGCATGTATTTTTCTCATGGAGGAAAGCAGTTTCATCATTGCACTTATAGGCCACCGTAGTTCTTGGAGCATAGGTTGTGTGTTCAGCTTTAACTTCCCAAAAAAGAACTAGCACAAACGTTCTGCAGGAACAAGAAAGATAACTCACAGATGCCTGCCTGAGAAATGATCCATGACAAGCGAAGAAACAGGATGACTCCCCAGATATTCAGCATGCAACGAATCTGTAAGCAAAGTTCAATAAAACCAGCTCTATGAATGTCTGTAACACTGTTTCATATGTAAGGTGTTCAACCTGTAGAAAAAGGCTGCACATGACACTCTTGTCCCTGTTTTGCAGTCTGTATGTGCAGTATGCTCAAATACACACAAGGCACACTCACCATGACTCCAGTCACCCAGCCAAATCTAACAGGAGCTTTCTCCTGCGGACCTTTTGACTCTCCATTTCCGCTGTCAGTGACTGGCAGGCTGCTAACTGAGCCTGCAGTGGTGTCAGGAACCTCAATTCCTGCATCGTCTTCCTGGGAAAAGCACAGTTTAAGTTGGCACAAGTACAATTTGTTGGTTTTGTAAGCACTTCCCAAAATCAAGGTTCGCACTTCACACACACATTTTTACTTTTTGTTCTGAGAAGGTTAAAGACAGGCATAATCATACCCCAAAAATTCAAAAAGTGTATATACTGTACATAAAACTAAGGATGAAAGTATCAGTGATATACTATACTGTACATACAGCAGGCCAGTCATTGATATAACTATTATATACATTTTCATAATTAAAAATAATTACAATTATTGTGGAGTTTTCCAACACAACTTTGGCCCTGAATATTTAATGGTATTTATGGAACTTATTAAAGATGCGTTTAATAGAATGTTTTTGAAGTACTTCTTTTCAGTAATCTGTACTACTCTTTCTTGAAAAGAATATAGCACATACTTTCTCCAAGGCCATGAAGCAGCTAAAATATAGTATAGGGTCTGTTAAGTTGGATGATGCAGGTTTCTTTGAGGCATGGTTTGCAGAGTTGGACAACTTACCTCAAATGCCTTGCGAAGAGTCTCCAGAGAAGGTCGGCCCCTTGACTGCTGGTGTGGCAGGGTGCTGGCATAGTTCTCCAGATGTGGCACCAGGTCTAAGGTGCTATAGAATGAAGACCTCCGCAGGTCCATCCTTGAACCTCGGTGTTCTGACGCACTGTCATACAGGATGTGCAAGCAAAAGTGTTTTTTTTTTCAATATAAGAAAATAAATTGAGCTAACATTGCACTAGATGCACAGTATGGTTGTTACATGTTACTGAAAAATGTTATGAAAAATCTGTGACAGGAAAAACCTATTGTGATATAGTTCTTTTGAACTCTACATGGCATGCATAAAACGAACAACATCAAAGTTAACTGGGTTAACAGTTTTCACTTTGGTTAACTGGGCCCCATTTGGGTAAATTTAAAAAGTCTAAAAAAATGTTATTTGGAAAGTGAAAACGGATGCTAGAAGCTAACAACACAAACCTTGAATCCGCATCTGAGACGACAATGGTTGGAGGAATTTGGAGGTTGCCATCGTGTTGCTGGCTGCTATGTTGTTGTGGAGAGTACCTAGGTTCATTTGCAGTGAAACGAATACGAGGGATGTGATGTTTGGATGTAAACTGCCCCATTGGCACGTCTTACTGATTCCTGTGTAATACTGTGGAGAAAAGCTGATTCAATAAGTTAAGCTTGCTTGGATACAAAATGATGGGCACGGATTGTAAACACGATCATTTACTTGAAGAGGCAATTGTGTGTAATTATTTAACTATTAGTGCTCCGGATGTCACTCTGGCCTTCCAACAGTGATCACGTCTGACATTGTTACTAGGTGATCTGGAGTCCCACTTGAATCTGTTTAAGGTGGTTTTAAGCCAATTGTGACCATACTTGTTTGTCAGTGGACACAAAAGTCAGAAGTATCTGTCAGCTTCGTGGTATCTTTCTTATGGCGATCATGTACACTTAACACTGCACTGTAGAATGGTCAGTCACTTTTTGTGGGTTTGTCATCGTTTATCACATTACACACAATCACTTGAGCCATTGTTAGAAAAGTACTCCACCAATATGGCACTGCATTTTTATAACATTTGAGATGAACAGTTCAACAACCAAGAATCCAGAGATATCTTTTTTTTTCACACATGCTTCTTCCTTGTCAAAATCAACATTACCCAGAAATCAATTCAACAGCTGACAGACTGGACATAAATTTAAGTACCTGTATGTTAGTAGCAGCTAGCCTCGAGCTGTTAGCCTTCAGCAGACATGATGAGCAGGCTGCAGAGGTCAGGTAAGCTCACGTTTCACTATCATCTACACCCCCAGATTTTCAACATTTTAGATTTATAGAATTCAACCCCAACTGACGCTGGCTCAAGTGACATCACCTGAGGCAGTTTACCTGTTTCAGCAGCTCCCTCTGGAACCACAAAAGCCTATTTTCACATATGTAGCAGGACACTGAGACTTGTAACCAGTATTTGACGTGTAAAATTGGTGGAGTTCCCTTTTCATAAAAATATGATCTGTTCAGCTTTAAATACACTGTATATACTTTATTCTCCACTGGAACCATGTGGGTTCACTATAGCTAGTTAATTTTAGCTAGTTTCATTTTGCTGATACTGACAGAGTTTGTTAAGAGGAACTCTTGTTTGACAAATGACTGATTCAGTGAAATCTTGAATATGATCATGGTGAGTGGGATTATTCTTTTCTACAAGATACCAGGCTTGTCTACCACATGCATACTTAAAATCGTGTTTTATACATTTTCCCTAAACTGCATCTGTAATCTATATAAAACTTTATGTGAGAATTTTCTATAAACATGTTATGGCTTTCCAGTGTGACCAAAATGTGTTAATGTTACAAATTGTGACAAATAACCAAATAAACTGGTCAAAACAGTGCCATAACTTTATACAAACTGATGATCAAGTCATGCATATCCAGTGTGTTTGACGAGTTAGATTCTGATCAGTCAAAGGAAAGTGATAATACAGCTCCTGTTAACAGTATCAACAGTGCTCAGCACTACTGAAACTTACAGCAAATGGGATAAAACCTAACGATTCTGACATATCTGAAAACATTTACCAAAACAAATTTTAAGCAAAATGAGTCTTAATTACTTACACAGGTGATTTCTGGTCCAGATGAATTCACAGTCACAGTAGATTAAATATATTCCTTCCTTCATTTCACACTGTCTTTATATTTATATCTCAGTTGAGGTAGGTAACATCCCCTCCCCTCTTCCTCATCTTCCGTCCTCCCCCTCACAGACACACATACACTTTATCATTTAGTCTACACTGCGAAAAATGTAAGAGCACTCAGAAACAAAAAAAAAAGGTCTTCAAACTAACCTTTAAACACATCCTCACATTATCATTTTATCCTTTTATTTAATCTCTATACCAAATTTTGTACCATAAATCTATTTGGCTTTCTAAGTCATCATTAGTAAATGGATGATTAATCCTTAAATAATGTTTCAGAAAACAGGGAGAGCATATTATTTGGTTTACATTATTCATCAAGGAAAAACAAAGCGGTATTGCAGGATAAAGGTTAACACAACTAAAGTGTCTGTCTTTGTCAGCAAAGTGATAAAGTCCATGTGAGGAGGAGGAGGATGGGTCAGAAAACACAGGAATTTCCCACAGGTGACTGATGTTCAATTCCAGCTTGAAACATAACTTTTCTTTTGAACCCATGACTGTTCTACAACCTAAAACACGTTTATTTTTGTAACCACTGTGAGCGTGCTGCGGGAGGTCCTATGGGTTGTATTCCCAGGTAGGAACAAGTGGCGTATATTGTTGTTTAGGGTTAGACTTGTTGGAAACACAACAGTACATTTATGCATCCATTGCCTATATCGTCCAGGTAGGAACAAGTGGCGTATATTGTCGTTTAGGGTGGCGGACTTGTTGGAAACACAACAGTACATCTATGCATACCTATATCGCGTACAGTAAACTCTAGAGGCTCTGGGGGGCTGGAGCCCATCTCAGCTCACACTGGGCGAGAGGCGGGTTACGCCCTGGACAGGTCGCCAGTCAATCACAGGGTCACACCATGTCAGACTGGAGTCAGCAAAAGAACAACTGGGTGGTTAATGGCCAATTTAAGAAAGTACAGCTTAAGTGTAAACTCAAAATATAACACTTTGAGTTTTCTGTGATTTCCAGGGAAGCACATCGCAAACATAACACAGTAACAGCTGCTTTGTACAGAAATGCTGACCAAAAAAAAGCAGTAAGACAAATAAGAATATCACCAAAATAATTCCCTATTTAATTCTTGAACACATACAGTCATGTAGATTTTTATTAAAATGTATTCATTTTCACATAATCTGGTGCTAAAATATCCCTGTAAAACTACTGCTCTAGTTATTCAAAGAAAAGTTTTAAATTTATTTGTAATACAGAGATAATTGTGCATAACTTTGTGTATTTTCAGATGTTTTAAGATAAGGCAAAAGCTGATCTCATTCATTTTTGTTAACTGACTCAACCTACATTTCTTCAGAATTCTTGACCTTGGAATTTCTCACTACTGTGCATCAGTAATGCAAAAGTAGAAACTCCTCTGCTTTAACATACTAAAAATACCATGAAACCTCTTCTTCTATTTTGTTATATTCCATTGTATCCTACTGTATTCCCCTCACCAGCTTATCAACATGGACTTCATGGACTTCAGTCCAAAGACACCGTACACTCATTCAATACTACCTATACACACACAAGCTAAAATCGTCTCATTTTCAATATGGTGTGTACACAAATGACCACAAGAGAAAATAAGCAGAACCTTGCCAATATTCCCTCCAGGCACCTCCAGTAGAAACCAACCAGTACTTTAGAGCTGAAATTATTAATTAATTAATCCATTAACTGATTGACAGAATCTCTATTAGCAGCAATTTTAATAATCTTTAAAGTCATTATTGAAGCCATATTTTTTTCATGTTGTGCAGACAAAATAAAGATTTTTTAAAAACACAATGTTCTGGCATACACTAAACAATCAACTGTTTATTAAAGTAAATGCTTGCCAGACATATTGATGATAAAAATAATCTTTGCCTACAGCTTTTTTGGTTCTCTGATTTACTAATACTACTGTGCTTGAGGATTTTTAAGCATCAACTACTGGACATGCAAAAAAGGAAAAGGAATATGATAAAACAGGACTTTACAGTGTGACCCAAATGCAGAGACTTAAGTCGCTCTCTAAAATAGACAAAACATTCTTGCAGGCAGTTTAGGCAAACAAATCCTTATAGGTTAGGTCGGCAGACAGTTCATAAAGGTCAAAGACATGTAAAGACAACTTGAACATGTCACAGAACAAGGCTGCTCAGCTTGTCTGGTTGGTAATCAAGCCTTAAACATGAGTACATTTCTTGAAAATACAATATCTTGATATCCAACTAATCACACTTTAACAAGAAGATGTAGACTGTTAATTTCTAATTTACAGTATGTCACCCCAGAGTCCCCCTTTGGTTTAAGAAAAAGAATCATGTTAAACTCTGTATTGTGTGGCTTCTTTCAGGTGGAAACCTCTTGCAGTGTATTCTTCATAGCACTGGCACCCTGCTATAATTAAACCTGCTCTATTAAATCTCCATGTTCACAATGCCATTGTGCCCTGATTAAAGACACTTGTTACGCCCACAATGGCAGAGGAATGAGAAGGTAAGTGTCTACACATAGTCTTGCTCCAAAATGAGATAGTAATCATTTGTAAGAGTAAAGACTCCTCTTGTAGTTTAAGCATAAGGCAACAAAGACAATCAGGATTGTGCAACAGAGAGAGATGTTTCTGTCCTGTCTCAAACTCTTGCAGCATTGCTAAGGACAGTGACTGACCTATTGTAACTTCCAGTGAATTCGGGAGCATCGGTCATACTGGCTTTGTTGACATTTCATTTTATAGGAGAGGTTGCATTTAGAAAGAACAAAACACACCTCAGAGGTCATGAGGATAATCAATGGGTGTCTGATGTCACGGTGAATAAGTGCAGTGAAGATGTGTGAGACATTTCCAGAAATGCAGCACTGTTCTTCACCTGTTCTTTCTTTATCTTGGCACTCCCTTTTAGTCCTCTC